TTCATTGATTTTCAACAATAAAACTTCACTTTTCTTTTCTTCAAAATTCAAATTTCAATCACAATATTATTTCAAATTTTTGAATTCGAGCATTTCCCCAATCAGCAACATAAAGATTTCCTTCATCATCAAAAGATAAACCGAACGGACAATTCAATTGATTTGGTTGATCCCCTTGACCACTGACACCAACAACAATTTCACCTTCTTCTTTTTCTTCACACCAACGTATTACTCGACTATTCCCCCAATCTGCCACATACATTTGACCCCAATGATCAACAATTACTCGTTGAGGGTAATATAATTGATTCAAATTCCTTCCCATACCATTTCCTCCAGCCATAATTATTCCTCCTTTGGCATCTTTTCTCCATTTCATCACACGATGATTGAACGAATCTGATATATAAACAGATTGATCTTCATCAACAATGATAAAAGTAGGACAATTGAATTGGTTAAGTTGATTTCCTTGTCCATTTCCACCTGCCACTACAACTCCTTCATTGTTGTATTCTCCCATTTTCCATCGCCTTACTTCATTCCTCTTGTAGTTAGAAATATAAAGAAATCCATGTTTATCCATTGCTAAACCCGCACAGTCAATATTATCAATGAGAACTTGTTGATATTGATTCAACCTTTGAATCACTCGTTTGTTCTGAAAATCAGCAATGATAATTGCATTATTTTGTTGATCAACAATCACATCTGTTGGACAGTTCAATTGATACAGTCGACTTCCTTTGCCATGTCCACCTGCAATGATTTGTCCTTGTTTTGCATTATATTTCCACTCAACAATACGATCATTGCAATCATCAGCAACGAAAACATTTTTGTTTTCATCGATAAATATTCCTGTAGGGCCATTGAGCTGATTTAATTTTTGCCCTTGTCCATTTCCACCAGCCACAGTAATGGCATTTTGTTTCCATTTGTTGAATTTTGATTCTAGAAAATGATGAAAACAATAAATTTTGATAAAAAGAAAAAGAAGAAGAAAATTAGTTTTTTATTAGAGAAAAAAGAAAATATTAGTTTTGAATGAAACTTTGATTGTGTTTTTATTGTTTGATTTTTATTATTTATTTTAATTTATAGTTTTTATATGAATATTTAGAAGAATATTTCTTATCATATATATCTCAAATGGAATAAAATCTTTCTTGAATATTATTTCATACCTTATCATTTTTTTTCTTTACATACAAATAAATTTAATCTTCTTCATCATTATTTTTTTTTTGTATTTTAGTTATTTAAAATAAATTTATAGAAAATGAGAATTATCCAGTTAGATATTGTTTGGTAAAAACTTACTTTTTGATAAAATAATTGAAAGTTCATGAATAAATGTTTGTGAATCTTCTTTAATAGAAATCTTTAATGGATTATTTAATTCTTGTGTGATTTCTTTAAATTGATTTTTTAAATAGTTTAAATTAATTTCATTAAACTCGTTTTCTTTTTGCATTTGTTTTATTTGTTCATTCAAGTCTTTAAATTTCATTTCAACATCATTAATACATGTTTGTGATGGTTTAACAACAAGTTCTCTGTACTCTTGTGCTTTTTGTTGAATTTTCTCAATTGATTCGATTTCCCATTGATTAATTTGTTCTATTAATGGAAAATTTTGTGAATTTTGTTTTTGTTCATTAATTGTTTGTTTAATTCATTATATTCATTGGTGATATGATATAATTCATTAGTTAATATTTGACGATGTTCTGTTAAATCCACTAAACAAAACTCTTTTGAACATCCTTTACAAGGATATGTTATTTTTTCATTATTACATATGAAACATAATGTTTTGTCATTTGCCATTGCCAGGTCTTTGAATAGAAGTTGATAGAAGAAATGAATTTATTCTTATCTGCTTTTATAAATGTTGTAGTCAAAATTAAAGTTCAGTCAATCTTCAAATTTGACTGAATTTTAATTTTGACTATAACATAAATATAAACTAAATCACTCAATATTAACAAGAACATTGCTCAGTAGTAGAAGAAATTGTTTTATGTCAACAAATACTAATTGTGACAAAATCTCACTAATAAAACTGGTATAATATCTAAGATGAATGGATACAATTAAAGAACCGGATTTATTTTAGGTTTAAATTAAAAAACCGAAGAATGTTTTAATGTAGATTTGGATGTAAGTAAAGACTTAACATAGATCTTCATCTACAGCTTTATCTACTAGATCAATGATATATTAATCTCTTTTTCATTTATTTTTCATATTATTTCAAAGAATTGAATTTCTAAACTTGTGATGTTTTGTAATTATTTCGATATAAATAAGAATTTCTTTTTCATCAAATAAATTGTTCAACAAAAGAAAATCTATCAAAATTAAAAATATTGATAAATAGAAATGATTTAATTGAAAAATAATAACGATATCGAAATAAATAACTAAATAAAACCAGATTTAATTATAAAAACGCAAATATTGTATTTAAACGGATATTGTCCAAAACTTATTTTTATATATCTCAGTATAGCTTCATAATAAAATTGTTTCACAGCATATTAAACATTCTGAAACAATTCTATGAAAATTTTATTATGATATATTGATCATTATTTTTATCATATGAAAATTTAATTAATATATCAATGTGTTGAATATTAAAATCAGAATGATATTTTTAAAATACAACAACAAAATTTGTTCAATAATATTTATACCAATATCATCTGAAGTGAATCTTTGAAAATCTAATAAATGTTTTAAAGAGTAAAATATCATATTTTATAATGATTTTATCATAATTATTAGATAATCAACATGGAAAATCAAATTTATGAACATTTAATGAAACAATAATATTATTTTTATTCATATGTGATTTATTATAATACAGTTTAAATGATACCAATCTTGATACAATGAGAAAGATTTGATGAAAATGATATTTCTAAAGAATACTAATATTGAAAAAACGAATACTTAGAAGTCAATATGAATATCAATAGAAGAAAAAGAAAGGAAATATTAAAATTGAATGTGATGATCTAAGGAGAATAAGTGATACGTTCAGATTAAATAATTCGATATATAAAAACAATACGAATATTCAATAGATAAATAGAAGAATTGATCATTAATCGATTCTGGATGTCAGTAATTGAATAAAATCTAATTAATAAATTATAAAATATTTGCTATTCTTTTTCTTAGTAAAATTCGACAAAAATCAACAAAAGATAAAGAATTTAACATTTATTTATTCGAAACATCTAATTGAAACTATCAAACTAAA